TAGTGCCCGGGCTGCTGCTTTTGAAACTGGATTTTTCTCTATCAGCGAGAGTGCAGAGTTTAAGAGAGGAAAGTGGAAGAGCCAAAAATGTGGATAAACAAAATGCACTCAATGTTATTCTTGGATTGCTACGTCCTCCGTGCTGATATTTTGACCAGATAGACCAGACTACAGATGTACTTTCACGCTTTGTAAAATAGACTGCACGATTTTGGAAAACAGTTCCTGACAGGTATTACAATTAGATTTCTGATAAATATGACCAAAAATAAATTATGTTTGGAGTCCACATTGGAAACAACTCCAGGAGCACTGACATTTGAAAGAAGACTGAAATATGGACTGATTAACTAATAGAAAAATCCCATGCGAGGTCTAAACTACAGGTACAGTATTTCCTATAAAAACATGAGATATTTTGTTATTGCAGACTAGAAGATATCCTGGCTTCTGCACAAACTCAATGCTGTGACGTGATTGGTTTCCCACCACCTGTCGGCCCTATCACACCAGTAGGGGGATAGTGGACCAAACAGAAAGGCAAAGACAAGGTACAAAAAGAAGTCCAAATCCAATAAAGTCAACAAAGGAGATAATCCAACAAAGGCTCAAACTAAGCAAATCATAAACAAAAAAAGCCCGGTCCAACTGGGGCAACTCAAATCAAACCAAACAGAACAAAACCAATCCAACTAACAAAGGAACAGGGGTGTGCAAATACCTGAGGACCAACCAAAACTGAACACAAGAGAGGGGAACCACACCAAACAATCAACCAAACAACCAACTTAATCAAAATAACAAGAAGGCATACAACTACAATACAGAAAACAATAAGTGATGACGAAGTGACCCCAAAGCAAACTAAACAAACAAACCTAGTAAAACTAACTAAATAGTGCTCCCCCCTCCCCCTGTGTTGAGTCATTCATGGTCTCGCCATCCTCCATCGGCACTCAAAAAACCCCAAAAAGAACAAGTGTAAGTAAACAACTCAGAACCATATCAACCAAAATGTGTGCACCCAAACCAGAACACAAGTCCAAACAAAGGAATCAAATCATGTGTAATATAATCAACTCAGTACAAATGAAGTGAAATAATACTGACATCATAGAGTTGTGGCAGAGGCATCCACCACAAGAGGAAAGATGGATTCTCGTGAGTTTGTGAGCTCACAGATACCGTGGGAATCTTTCTTGTTCTACAAGGTTAACTAGAGGACTTTCTATTATCTAAATAATTGCAGCCTGCTTTTTGATAATTGTGCCAACTCACATTACAAGTTTGGTTTAATTGTGATATAAGGCCTATTGTGCAGCCTATTGTTCACCTTCTATTGGTCATCATGATTTGACTGTCAGTTAGGGCCTGCCGTATTGGAACATATGATTTGCTAAATTGCACCAAAACATGAGCTCCATTAAGGTTCATAGTGCGCAGCGCAGATGTATCCTGTTTACAGTCTCTAAACAGTGTGTAGTTTATATATAAATCGGTGGTATAGCTCGTGCCAGGCTCTCCGTGTGCCCGCTGCCACAACACGTTCCCCGCTCCGTGCCCGTACCCCCCCGGGCACGATCTCTCTCCTCCCAGTGCTCCCACCCGTGCCCTTAGCACCATCAGAGCACAGCGCCAGCATGGAGCCGGCAGCCAGCCAGCTCTGAGAATTAGAGGTGATTACAACTCTGAGTGTGTATGTGCCCGTGTGTGTGTGTGCGTGCATTTGTGTATATGTGTGTGTGTGCACGGGCCACTGCGACAGACTGCCGGCTTGTTATATAATCTAATTTACACCAAAACAACTTGAGAGAGCATCACCAGGAAAAGAAAGCTCCAAAGCTGAACGCGCCGATTGATTGGCTGCGCCTCTCAGATGTGTCAGGTGCAGTTTGGATTTCAGCGTATGAATATTTCTGTCAGAGATCAGGTCCTGCCAGAAGGTGCTCCCATGCATCCTGCTAAACCCGAAAATCTAGGTCCTCAGGATTTTAATTATGCAAATAATGGAGGCATTCAATGCAAAATAATGATCTTAAATGTTGTATTTAGACTTCTTTGTATTACATCATGGGTGTTTATCGTTAATTAGTTAATGTCTATAGTGAATCATCATTATCGGTGTATCGGTTAGGGCTGCACTGATCCAGCTTTTTCACTTCTGACAGTTCTGATCTGATTTGATTTGACCAATTTATCGGAGTCTAGTTATAGGCCAAAATGAGCCTGCATAAATAGACTTACTTATTACTTCTAATTAAAGGTCCAGCCTAATCTGGCAAAAAAAAAAAAAAACATTTAGCATTTAAAAAAATATATTTAATACCAGTTTTGAATGTCTGTATAATATTTGTTATGCTGTACAATAAAATAAGAATTATGGTCAAATAAACCAACTGTTTCCTCAAATATTATGATGCGTCTCTACTGTTGATTATGGCTTATTATCGCTGCCATAGACTACATATATTCCAAATAGGAATTTCATATGCTTCTCTTCCATCTCCTTCTGGCCCTCGCTCCCATTGTCTTACATTAGAATATTGTGGCTCCTCTCTATGTAACCTCTGCTGTGAGCCTCGTCATTTTGGTCTTAAAATGTTCATATTAACCCGCTCTACATGATCCTGGCTTTTTCCCACTATTTTGTCCATTAAAAATAATCTATTCATCTGAGTGGAGCCAAGTGCTGTGGGTGACGTCACACTCACTTAGTCCACTTCTTTACACATTCTATAACTGTTGCAGAAAAAGCTCATTTATATAAAATATGCTCTCAGTCTACTTAGTAACTTGGAAATGTGCAAACCCCACTGTGCCTCCCTAATGTAGACCATTAAGCCTGCAAAGAAAAATGGAGCCAATTGTCTTTCGCAAAGCTCACAAATGTTATACACCAATAATATTTATTCATCCTACAAACTTTGGATTTATATCTAGCTGTTTACCTTTTTACACAAAATTGTCTCTTGTGAGCTTTAAATCTTATGTTATATCCCCCAAAACAGACCTGCAGTTGTATTTTGTTTCATTCTCACATGTTTGAGTAATCCTTTATTGTTAGTCTGTCTTCCAGCTTGTGATGTCATGAAGCTGTAGTTTTCAAATTAACAGCTACTTTTTACCTATTGAAGGTGTATGGAGTTTAAAACACAGCAGAGCACTTCCCGTATTACCACATGACATCACAAGGTGGAATAGAGTGTTTTCTGTTTGAGAGAAGAACTCTGCAGGGTTTGTGCTAAACATGTGTGAATGAAAAAAAACACAACTCCTAGTGTGTGTTTGATGAGGAAACTACATTAGAACAGCTCAGAAAATAGCGTAATGGACCTTTTAACTTGATATATTTTTCTTGGTGAAGCTTTAAAGGTGTGTCGGTGATGAATGAGGACGTGCTTCCCTCCGCAGACGTGGCGCGTACACAAGGCCTAATCCACACAGACAGACAGTGATCAGGCTAATCCCCCTCAGCTCCTCAGCTCTGACCCAAGCCTTACCTTCACACACACACACTTACATACAAACACAAACACACACAGAGCACACAGTCTCAGGTGAACGTCTCACTGTCACTTCCTCTGTTATTACTGCTTGGAGAGTGTCAGCGCAAAGCAAATATGATGTCACGGTTTTGTTTGCAGTTCATTCAGTGGTGTTTATAGGCAACAATTTTGAGCTGAAATTATTGTAATCAAAATACAAGCAGGCTTCAAGATTAGAGATTGACCAACATGCGTTTTTTTCACGGTCTCTGCTGATATTTTTGGGCCGATATGTAGAGCAACTTGGGTATTTTTTCCCAAATCATCAAATTAAAATTTAGTACAAACTCATCCTCAATCTTCTTTTATTACAATCTTGTATAGAGTCCAGTGTAGTCATGTTTTTGCAGGTCGCTCTTTGGATTTAAGTGTTCAAATAAAGATTTCTCCATATATTTTTCTTGCATATTGAAGCTGCTGGTTGGGTCAAACAAAATATTGGCCTCTGCTTTAGATTTATGGCTGATAGATGATACGCTAAAAATGATGTAAGTTGTAGTTAAGGTTGAAAAATGCATATGAGAAGCATTTTTGTCGAGCAAATACGTAAGGTTGATTTTGATCAGTTAAGAATGGCTTACTTAAAATTAGACTTAGACAAACCTTATTCCACAAAGAAACAACTGACTTGGACACAGTAACTCACACATCACAATATCATATAATAAAGAGTAAAAAATATGAATGTAACAAAAAAGATACCAAGAGACTTACCTTCATATATTGTAATTATACATATTATACATTTTTAATAGAAGTTTTTCTTGAGTTGTCCTTGAATTGTCCTAATGTGCTCATTTTATTTCATGACTTTTAACACCTATTTGTTTGTTTTTTACCAAGGTTGTGTATTTTGTTTATTTAAGTAAATTCTACATTGCAAATTTCTCTGACCTGGCCAAGATTTTAAAACTTATATCAGGTCATTCATCTTGGTTTCAGATTTATTATCTACTTACTAGTTCTGAAATGCTTCATTCTAGTTAAGAGATAGTATTTATTTTAAGATAACTTGTCAAGTAAAATGATTTTTCTGCATGGACGGATAATTTCACAACTTTTAAGTAATTTTCTGATAGATTTAAGTGTTTATATCTTAACATTTGGTCAAGCTTTTTTGCAGTGTTGTCTCTATACACTCTAAACAGTCTTACTATACTACACTATGCTATATATTGTTTATTTATTTATTTTATTTGATTGGACAAAGATGACATAACATGAACGTAAACACATGGGTTTATAGCCGAATTGTAATATTTGCTTCTGTGTCACTTTAAGAACCAACACCTCATCTTAACTTCATTTGATCATGTGCCAAGTCATCTTTATATATGCCCCAGCAACTCTGAAAATGGGTCAAATGCAGAGGACAGATTTCCCTTCGGGGACAGTCCAGTATCGAGTGTATCTATTTCAGCTTCCTATCTTAACACCTGTCCCTCTCCTCCGCAGATCTGGCGCTGTGACCTTTGAACCCTTGTTTCTGCCCCTCTGTGCCGCTGCTCCCGAAACGAAGGCGAACTGGACACACAGACATCTCATTAGCACGTGTCACCTTGTCCGCAGAGGTCAGAGGTCAACTCATATTTAGCCCACAAAGTCAACGGCGGGATTATAACTGCAAGGAGATTTAAGTAGTCGAGAAGAGATTTGACAAGTTTGTTGGAATGTATTTTGCTTCTGGTTCCAGAGCTTTGTGAAGATTTTTTTTTTTTCGGTCTTTCAGTCTATAATATTTCACTATCCTCTTTACGCTTGGTGGAAATGGGCCTATCTTTTATCAGACCCGAACGGACTTTAGTAAGCTAATCCCAAGACGAAAACGAGGAAGGCGCTATGTCGTGGAAGAGGAACTACTTTGCTTCAGGCAGTGGCGGCGGAGGAGGAGGAGGGAGCAGTGCGGTCGGAGCAGGACTGAGCACCGGCGGAGGGATGCAGGAAATTTTGACTCCGAGAACCATGACGTCCATCGCCCCGAGCAAAGGCCTGAGCAACGAGCCGGGCCAGAACAGCTGCTTCCTGAACAGTGCTCTGCAGGTGGGCGCCACGAAAACATTACACACGTTACATAAAGCTGCACTATGCCACTTTTTGATTGGGGTCTGTTAACTGCTTGTTTCTATTGGTATGTCATTGCTCTGCCTTGAATGTTCCACAGTATGACTTTAAACAGATCTACCTTACATTTATTAAAGTACAGGTGGTTTTATAGCTAAAATACCGATACCTACCTATATATAAAAACGTGACTCTGAGCGGGGTCGCCTCTCCACAGTTCTGACCTGTAACTTGGTCTGGTTTGGTCTGCATGAAGATAGAAATATTTAATATCATAGTGTGAAACATTCTATACAAAGCAATAACATCTCCATGGAGACAAGCATTTGACGGACCCAAAACTCCAGGTATCAGATGAAGAGAAAAGGCAGTGTGCTTCACTGGCTCATTAAAAAGTTATAATTTTTTTTTTAAGTTTAAAAAAATAACACTACAGGTACTCTACGAGGGTTGATTTTTTTATTTTATTTTTTTTAAATTTTTAACAGAATGTTGCCCTTACTGTAAAATGTAGCAATGGACACGACACAAACTCGAGGAACACCGACTGAACATATTATACATGATGTTGTCACATGATTGCAGTGGAACTGTATTTAATGACACCAGTGTGTCCTGTTCCACACTTATGCTCTGACCAAGACCATCTCACTGGTTGAAACGTGTCAGCGTCCCTCCATGAAATGAAGAACTTTTAACATATTCAGTCGGTGTGCCTCGGGTTTTTATCTTGCCCATTTCTATGTTTTACAGTAAGGACTACATTTTGTTGACAACTCCAGGTCTGTTTATGAGGAAACAACATTATAACAGAGATCAGAAAAATAGTGTAGTATGGACCCTGTCAAGTGCATCAAATTTTTTTCTAATTATTACTTGATTTTGTTGGATAATATCTGTGGTAAATATTTGTCATATTTTTTACATCAGTTAAGTGGCAGTTTGTGGAATAAGTTGAGAAGAAATGTACAAAAATACAGGAAGTAGTGCTTAGTTATAAAACAGTATCCCTCTACTTATGTCATTAACAGAAAATTCCATCCAAAATGCAGGGACCATTTCTGTTCAACAAACTCATTTTTTCCAGACAAATTCAACATTGATTCAACAAAATAAAGCTGTTATCTATTTTTATTAGTCTAGTGTCAATATTACAACTAATCTGTTTCCCGCTTCCACCCAGAAAGTAAATGTATAAAAGTCATCAGAATATAAAACTAGAATTAACTAGGTCATTTCTCTGAGTGAAATATAATAGCATTAACCTTGTCTTAGTGAAATAGTACTGTAACCTGTCATATGCACTTAAATAGGTAATTTAGGGATTAGAGGATGAGCCCTGTCTATGTCTTATGATCAGATAATCCCCTAAGAAAACAAATGCAGTCTGCGCTTAAGCCTTCATCACAGTGTTTGGAAACAGATCGTACCATAACCTTGTGTGACCCAAGAGGCCTGCTTCTTCACAGAGTTACTGTTTCAGTTTGTGTCATAAAACTCCAGTCATGACTAACATTATCAGTTCTAGTCTGGTAATAACAATATAAGTATGTGATTGCTCATCTGGTTTACAGGAAAACAGTGCTGGTTTGGGACATTGTTCTAAGATTTCTGTGTCAGCTCTAAAATTAGAGGAATTTTCACTTATACAAGCAAGGAGCCAATGAACTTATTACAAACTTAATTATTGTCCATGCCAAGAATAGTTACATTAACAAAATAATCTGTATTCTAACATTGACTTCACACATTATTTTTTGTCTTTCAGTCCATGTTTTTGAAAGGACACATGATTTCAGGATGACTTTAAAATATTTGGACCAGCAAACTTGCAGTTATTGACTTAACTCCCCATTTATCACAGTGAACTCCTTAAATACATAAAGAGGGAGTATTTTACATTTAAATTTTACTGCTAACACATGACATACTTGGTTCACATATTAGTACCGTATTTTCAACACCATAGGGTTCGCTCTTAAGCCTCCAAACCCATCAAAAAATGACTGCGCACCCCACAATCCAGAGCGCCCTATACACGAATCCACTCGGGTGTCCCAGCACGACTTCAGTAAACTACAAAGCCGCAGCGCACGCAAACACACACGGAGTAGACAGCGACCACGCAGCGAAAAACACCAGCAGCCAGAGCGCCCTATAGTGCGGAAAATACGGTATGCTAAAACAGAGCTTTCAGTTCAGTTCAGTTTTTCACGCTCTGTGTCCCCTCTCCCTTTGCTCCTCATGCTAAATCACTCCCCCTTTAGAGCACACTCACAACACAATTGGCATGCATCCCGCAAACGAAATGACAGCGCATCGCATCAGGTTTGTGAAGTTGTGGAAAATTGTTGTACGGGAGAATGGGTGACGTATGTTTCTTGAAAAGGCTCATACTCTGAGGAGGGTTTGAAAAGGGCCTGGGAGAGATCACTGGATTACTCAAACGTGCATGGATGACATCTAAAACCACTTCAGGCATGTTTTTGATAAGGAAATAACATCATAACATGGTATAAAGCTTCAAAAAATCGATTTTGCTAAATATGAATCTAATATGTGCATGTAGAAATTGTTTTTTCATGTGTTTGGAAACATTTGGATTGGACTAAAAGGTCTGGTGAGTTAAACCTCTTGCGAAGTTGTAGTTCCAGCAAACAGTGTATCAATAAGTGAGTAAATAAGAAATAGTGAGGCCAAAATTGTGAACTGAACCACACATTTTATTCTTAAAATTCTGTCAAAATCTGGTCTCATCTCATCCTCATGGACCCAGTCTCATGTGTTTCAAAGTGTCTCCCATCTCTAGTATATGAATTGATGAGCCCCATCATAGTGTGTGGACTTGTTTATTGAGTAATCTGTTTGTATCTATCTCTGAGCCTTTTCCACACTCAGCTCCACCACAGCGATCCAGACAGCAGCCAGCCAGACTCCACCTCGTGCCACTGTGGCCTATAATCTCACCGGAGCTTTTTAAAGAGGCTGGTGTTAGCGTCTACGGGCACGCTGTTGGAACAGAGGTGGGAGCTCTCATTAAGACTCACCCGCTCTTAACTCCGAGTGGGAGGGGCACAAATGACAGAGGGTGAAGACACAAACACCCATTAAAGGCTTCCACTGGAACTGAGCCTTCCAACCACACACTGCAGTAATGCCAGTCTGTACACACATGTCATCACCGCTAACTGCTCGGCAAGACTGGACTGTGTAACTGTGTGAGTGTGTGGGAGCTACAGAGCCCACGAGCACTGAGAAGCAAATCCTATATTGCACTATTTTCAGATCTATATGTTATAATGTTCTTCATCAAAAACTTTCCTGGAGTTGTGCTTTGTTTCACTGATACATGTTTAACTCACAAATCCTACATATTGAGTTCTTCTCTCAGACTGAAAACGCTCTTTCCCACCTTGTGATGTCATGTGGCAATACTGGAAGTGCTTCACTTGCCACGCTTACAGGAGAGCTCTAATTCTGAATAAAAATAATTTAATTCTGAATAAAAACTGATTCTGCTTTAAAACGATCATTTACATACTTAATTCCTAATGAAAATGATTACTCGGAATTAAACTTAATTCCAAAGTAAGTGGGTGGTTTATTTATATAAAATAATTGTGGTCTTTCAGCGCATGCTCATTGGGTCGCACTTCTGACGTGTCCCAGACGATCCAGCTCCACCAGTTCTCGCTTCAGACTTTCATCCACTTCTCTTTAGATTTGCGAGCGGGATGCAGGAGTGGGCTGCGGTAGACGCTTTTCCTTTCTCCTGCTCAGCTGACAGATGTAAAGAGTGATGAGAGAACCTCGAGCTGCTGCTTAATTATCATCAGAACGACTGCTAAAAAAGTTCATATCATGTAAGTGTCTGTGGCATAACAACAAACAGAGATGACAAAAAAGCCAGTAGCAGCTGAAGTGTGTGTTTTCTTCTGGTCGACGTAAATACGTTCATGTCCCTGTCCAATCAGAACCCTTCCCCACCCCCAGACGTTCAATGGAATTAAATAAAGACGATTTAACATGTTTTCGATGTAAACCTCAATTCGTAATTATTACTTCCATGTAAACTCAAAGGAGAATATTTTAATTCCGAACTATTTATATCAGAACAATTAATTCAGAATTAAAAAAACATCATGTAAACATGGCCACTCAGGTTTTTAAACTCCAAACACCTTTACTAAAATCATTTGGATAATTTCAGCTCTGTTATTGCTAATCTCTACTGAACTAAAAGAAAAAGGTCACTGTTATCTTAAAAACTACAGTTTCATGACATCACAAGGTGGAACAGAGCATTTTGAGCTTTGGAGATCTACACAGATTAATAATAAAGCGTTACTCAAACATGTGTGAATGAAACAAAACACAACTCCTGGTATGTTTTTGATTAAAGCTCACAAGAATCCATTTTGTGTAATATAGAATCAACTTTCTGAGCTTTCTGCCATGGATCATCAAACATGCCTGACGTGGATACAAAGCAACACACTACAACTTCACAAACCTGATGCGGTGTGCAGTAGTTTCATTAGCAGGATTTATGATGACTGTGTTTAAACATATCATTTAATACACTGTTGTGTTGTTGTATGGTGATTTAAATATGTTATGTATCCGCAGTTAATACCACATTAAAGTGTAATATCCCGTCTTTAAACCTTGATCTATGTCATGAGTTATATTTGGAAAGAATAGCGCTAAGAACCAGTATAATTTCTACTATATATGCCATTTCCTTAAGAGGTTTTTGTTGCAGATTGATAGTGGCAATTTCCCATGGCTCCCTCTCTTAATTAATAAAGGCCTATAGCAACAGCAATATGTTTCTAGCAATTGGGCTAAAAGCACCCACTTGTGACCAATTATGTTAGAGCAAACTAGTGTTTCAAATTATACAGAGTGCTTTAAATTAGACCTGTCACGATAACAAATTCTGAAGTGTGATATAATGCTACAGAAAATTTAACAAT